CTCACCACCAGAGTCCAGATTCTGAACGGCAGAGCAGTGAAGACCCTCTTTGCAAGGATGCCCCCCTCCCCCCCCCCCCGCCTGTGCCAGCCGCTCATTCTGAATCCCTTTGTATGTTGCCAAAAGGCAGAGGAGGAATAAACCTCCACACCAGCTACAGAATTTGCCTTCGGAAATTTACTTCTGCATTTGGGGGGTGGGGGGGTCCTCCAGTCTTTGCTAGGCAGCAATTCCCTAAGGCTCAAGGCGGCCAACCCAGTCCAGATCCAGATCCAGATCCAGAAGCGGGCAGCCCCCAAAGATTTCTATAGGTGTGAATGACAGAGCTGAGCCTTCCCAGGCCACAAAACCAGAGCAGCCCTCCTGGCAAAAGCTTTGGGAAAGAAGGAAGGGCCCCCTTTTGCCCTCCTTGCCTGCCCCAGGGACTCTCTGGGCCCCTCTCAAGAGCCACCCTGCTCCCTCTGCCCACAAGCGGACAGCCGTTCAGGGGAGGGCTGAGCCCGGCACACTCGGCTCGGCACTTCCTGGTTACCAAATTCTACTCGACAATCCACAACTTGGAACTGGGCCGAGTTGGGCCAAAGACCCCCCCCAGGTGCTCTTCTGGCTGGACTGTCACGGCCTCTCTGCCCTTCAGCCTAGCCTGCCCCATGAAGGGTCTCTCTCTGCCCACAGAGCAGCTGCCGGTTCCTCGGGCCCCCAAGGGGAGCTCGGAGCTCTCTCGAGATCAACCTGTGGTGGGATGTGGAGCCAGAGAACAGCCAGGGTTCAGCTGAGCTCAGGGAGGGAGGCGGGGCGCGCCCACGGCCAGCCTCTCTGCTGCAGGGGGCAGGAGGAGCTGCCCGGCCCCCCGGGTTGGAAAGGAGGAGAAAGGGGGGGGGCTCCTGCCTGGGGGAACTATACATACAAAGATCATTTTAATTAATTAATTTATTTCTTTACACATGACTGAAAGTGATGTTACAGTACATAAGTTATTTACAACTGTGCAGTAATGTGTTGCAAAATAAATTATCTAGAAGGCAGCAAAAAAGTACATTGTTAATGTAT